CTACCTGTTATAGTAATGCCTCAGAACTGACATCTGGTTAATGATGGCTTTTTCTGCTTTGACACTGTAAAAGCCTGCTTGTTTCTTCTGCAGGGAGGAATTCCACTGATAATGCAGGTCATACAGCCTCTTTGTCTCCTTCAAGTGTAAATCCTCCTAGAAGGCTGTTCCTCTTCTCTAAACCTTTTATAAGCAACATGAACTAGAAGGAATGTTAATTCGCACTTTGCTGCCTGTTCCTTCTTCAGGAGGTTTGCAATACATGAGATTTTTCTGAAAGCTTGGCTATAAATGAGGACAGGGAGAGAAATCACTGGGTTTGGGGTTTTTTTTCCTTGTTTTGTGCTTAAGTTACTTAAGTTTTTGGAGGGTTTTTTCCCTTGTTTTGTACTTAAATTACAGTTTTATAGAGAGGGGATTGTCTTTATGTATATTTACTGACCGGAAGAGTACACAAACTGGTTTTGCTGGGTGCTTATTCTGCTTCTTCATTTCTTCAATCCTACTACGATCAGAGCTGATTTTGTATTTCAGGTCTGTGCAGTAAGAGGTGTTGAACCTGAAGCCAGGTCTATCACCAGATAGACTGTGTGGTAAATATGCTATCAGTCCAGGTAACATTGCTGGAACTGCAGCAGTGTGTTGTATTTCTTTATGGAAATGGGATTTATGTCTCAAAGAAGGAGCATAAAGCTGATCACAGTACATCAGAGGCAGTTTTTAGCATGTCTCAACTGTGGCAGGAGGCGAACTGAACTGGAGCATTGTCTCTGTGCAGGAGGGGACAGGATCAGAGCTCTCATCTGCAGCCCAGATGATAAAAGAGATCTTTGCCTGACATGCAGAGGAAAGGTGGGATTTTTTTTCCCTTTCCTGGATAAAATGACTTTCCGGTACCACAAAGCATTCTGCAAGTCACTAACCCCATCTGTCCCTGGAGGCCCCAGTCACACACAACTGTTGTCTCTCATGGCACTTCTCTGACTCAAGCAAGCCCTGGGTTGTTGGGTCTGGTTTCAGCCCTGGAAAGCTGCAAATTGGCATCATCTTCCATCCAAAGCTGCCTCTAGTGTTATGTGTAGGCAGAGAGTTTGAACAACTGGGATTGTCAGTTGTTAGTGTCTCTGAATGGGAGCATTCTTGCTTGGATGTAGTGATGTTGCAGACCAAAGTCCTGATGGTGTTTTTCCATCTGCCAGTCTTCATCTTGGCCATGAGAGATGGAAAACTGAGTCGAGGTCAAGTGGATGCTGTATTTGCAGTCAGGTGAACATGGCCCAAACCTGTGAGAGATTTTGATCACAGGAATCCCATCAGAAATGCCTCCCCAATGCTGGACACCCGGGACTTTTCCATGTATGCTCATCTGCCTGTGCCACACCAGTCTGCTCTCCACTGTAGGCTGACAAGTTGCTTGTTCAGCAAAGGAACATGTCAGTGGGTAAAGCTGAAGTATAGCAAGTTGAATGTTCACATTCTTCCTGCTTGCACTTCTGATGCTCAGCGTGGAACGTTTGGGGCATAAGAGGCTCCTGTATTTGAAGAGCCTGGTCTTCTTCAGTTTAACACTAAGCAGAACATACACAGTTACATGAAGAGAAACATGTGCCTTTGTGCTTGCTGTCTTAGATGCAAGCACGCTCCCTGGGTTGGCTGCAAGGGCAAGGCCCGCAGTCACATCTAAGGCTCTGAACTTCCTTATCTACCAGTAGTTTTTTGCCCTTGCCAAAACCAAGCATAAAAGGTCCAAGGTTCTCCCAATACATCCACCTCCTGCCGCCAGAAGAGATGCACAAGCTGCCAAGCGAGGGCAGTTACTCTCCAATAACTGTGCTGGGTGCCAACAATATGTGAAGCGAAATATATAGAGTTATAGCAGCTGTAGGTGATCCAGTGCACTGCCCAGGAATAATAAACACAGGACACATAACTGGGGCAGAGAAGAGAGTGATCTAATAAAGGAACATGAGGCATTACTGACAATGGCAGCCTGGGTTTGTTTCTGATGAAGATTAAGAGAACTGGCATAACAGGAAATTGTTTTCTGCTACAAAGGGAAATCAATTGTTTCTAAACACACAGCAGTGTAATTAGCAAACCTCACTAATTGCTGCACAACAGACATACAAGTAAGTGTGTGTTGCCGGGCTGGCTAAGCCAAGGGAGTATTGTGAGCGAAAATGTGGAAGCTTTTAGGAATGAATATTTCTCTGAAGTACGTCTCCATCCCTGGAGATCCACATGGCTGGATGAAATGCCAAGGGTGCAATAAAAGGATCTGCTTCCCAATTTTCCCATGTGAAAGAGCATTCAAAAACATCTGTTAGTCAGAGGCTTCTCCTAGGACACGCATGGAAGAACAGGGTGGATGCACTGACTGCATCTGGCAAGTCCACTTGAGGTCCACCAAGCCACGTGAGGCCAATGATTGATGGCAGGATGTCGTCTGACCTGCGGGGTGCTTCCAGCCCACGATTACTAAAGGCCATGTATGTTGATTAAACAGGTCACTGTGCTGTTTGTGTTAATGTGCTGATAAAGAGGCAGGGAAACAGAGCTGGAAAATTCTCCAGGCAGGCTCTTGTCCCGCTAAAAGGCTCTTTTCAGTGGAAAATGGAGAAAACCATGTTCTTTCGGCCAGGGGTAGGAAAAACACTAAAGCCAGCTGTGCTATTCTGGTTCATCTCTCCAGGTGTTGGCCCCATGGAGGGACATTGAAGGGGGACCGGGATCTCCACCACGGCTGATGGTACCTGGAGAGAGGAAGGCAGAGGCTGTTCTCCTTGGAGCAGCAGCCAAGCACTTGGCACCAGCTCTGGCCTTCCTCGAGGAAACCAAGCCACTGCAGCTCAGGGATCTGCAGCCTCTTCTCTCTCTGCTGCTTCCTGGGCTCCTGTTTGGGATCTGTGTGATTCCCCATGGCTCCCCTCAGTTCCCCAAGGTGTGCCCTGGCAGGTTACCCTGCCCTGCCTCAGTTTACCCTGCACAGCATCCCCATCAAACTGACACTGCAGATGCAGTTAGTTAAGGATCACAACCCTGAAAGCCTTTCTGTGATGCATCCGTACTGCTCCACAAAGACAGTTTGGAAAGCTGTCCCTGCGCTGCCCTGGCCCTTCTGTGCCATCACTGTTAATTAAATGACTCTTACCGTTAATTCCCTGCAGAGATCATACTCTGTAGCAGGCAGTTGCCCTGCAACATCCAAGTCTGGACCCATTTATGCCCTGAACAGATACACAACCCAAGCTGCCTCTGCAGCTTGGGGGTTAAATGTGCATGCAGAGCAGGAATGCAGAGGCCCCTGGGGCAGCGGTGGGGAGAAACAACATCTCCCAACCCTGCTCTCTCTCTTCCTGCAAGCTTTTTGGAAGGCAGAGGATGAGGTTTGGCTTCTCCCATGTCCACAATGTCCCGCCCAGCAGCCTGGTCCTGGTTTGATCCTGGCTTTTCCACCTGCGGCAACTTTGGGATCACCTCCTGTGCCACCTTATTCCATCCCTTCCTCCATCACCCTCTTATCTACCCTCCAGCCCTGTGCATCATCCTCCTGGTATAAAGTACCCACCTGGTGCAGATAAACAGTACCCCTGTTAGGAAGCAGAAAGAAGTGTCCATCATTTCCCTATGCAATGCACTATTGAGAGATGTGTTTGCTCCTGCAAGGACCAAGCCAGGCTCCATCCTGGAAATACTTCTGCCTTACACATTGTTCACTGTTTATATTCTAGCTCTGAAGCTTTTATCACTTTCCTGCTGCAACACCCCAGAGCACGTATCTCAGTCCAGGTGGCCATGGCATCTTCTCTAGCCCTGGAGGGCTGTGCCACCCTAGCACAAGGCTGTGGCCACATGCCCAATGGTCCCAAAAGCAGGACCTCAGGGCTGCTTCTCCCCCAGCTGCTGCCTTGCCACGTGGAGCAGGGCTGGGTTACAGGCTGTCAGCATTATTCTGTATGAGTAAATGCAGCATGTAAGCCTTGCCCACAGGGAGAAAGCAGATGAAGTGAGCAGTGCTTTTTTGCTTCAAGGGATAGGGTTTAGAATCAGCTAATTAACTGGCACATAGATTTTGGTCCTGAGCTACAACAGCAGTCGTGGACTTTTCATTTCTTAATAGGCATGGGCTATAAAGCCCACAGAAACTGTAAAAGTGTGGGACCATACCTAATCGCAGTCTACAAGTCCGTGTAGTATTACAACTCCTGCCTAGTAGAGGGTTTGGCTGCTTGCTTGGCAGTACCCGAGTCTCACAGAAAGGATAAATCCAAGCAGGAAACTTCAAAGGTGTTTTGCTGCCTAACGCTGACTGTAAGCGTTGTGAATTCAACACCAAAATGCTTTTGAGTCACTTGGCTGTGATCCCCCTTCGGAGGCGCTTTGCCATCAAACTCTGCTCAGGCGTGCGGAGCCTGGGAGGAGGCCAAGCCCAGTGAGGCAGGTCCTTATCCAAAGGGCTTCAGCATCCTTTTCCACGTCATCCGCACTGTTCTGCAGACAGCTGATCTGATAGGGGCTCTTCATCAGGGACTGTAGCGATAGGACAAGGGGTGATGGGTTCAAACTGAAACAGAGGAAGTTCAGGTTAGATCTAAGGCAGAAGTTCTTCCCTGTGAGGGTGCTGAGGCGATGGCACAGGGTGCCCAGAGAAGCTGTGGCTGCCCCATCCTTCGCAGTGTTCAAGGCCGGCTTGGGGCAACCTGGTCTAGTGTGAGGCGTCCCTGCCCGTGGCAGGGGCTTGGAGCTGGAGGAGCTTTCCAACCCAAACCTTTCTGTGAATATAGTATGAAATATAGTATATTTCCTATATAGTATATAGTAGATTCATATAGTGTGCATATATATATATATAAAGACTATGAAAGGATTTAATCCCCGTTTCACGCCTCGGAAGCGATTTGTGGCGGGCTGGGGGCGTGGCCAAGGGGGCGGGTGGCGGGACCCCGCCACCCGCCCCCTTGGCCACGCCCCCAGCTCCGCCCCCTCCTTGCACGGGGCGCGTCAGGCGTGAGGCGGCTGGCGGCGGGAGCAGTTCCCTGGTCCCGTCGGGAAGGAGGAAGAGGAGGAGGAGGAGGAAGGCGGGGATCAGCCCGCTGAAAGCCGGTCTAAATCATGGCCAAGTACGACGATCTAGGTCTGGAAGCCAGCAAGTTCATCGAGGACCTCAACATGTACGAGGCCTCCAAGGATGGTCTCTTTCGCGTGGACAAAGCTGCCGGCAACAACCCCGAGTTTGAGGAGACCAGGCGGGTGTTCGCCACTAAAATGGCCAAGATCCACCTCCAGCAGCAGCAGCAGCAGCAGGAGGAGATGCTGATGGCAGCACTGAACGGAGGGGCTGCTTTCAACCCCCCCCGGCCCTCCCTGCCTGTGGCACGGGGGTCCAAGCCGCCACCGGCCGCCGCGGAGGGGTCGCGAGTGAGGCCGTACGATGGAGGTGAGGCCCCGGGCAGCCAGGCTGGGCGCTGGGGATGGGAAGCGGAGCCCAACAGGATCCCCAGACCCGCTGTGGGGCACAGGGAGCAACAGGCTGGGACCCCCAGTGACCCTCAGCCCTACCGTGGTGGGCAGGAGAATGGCAGCAAGGGCTATGAGCCGGCGGCAGCCGGGCAGAGATCCTCCTTATCGCATGCCCGGGCCCCCCCGGCACCCTCGGCAGGGACAGAGGATGGGGTACCGGGGGCCCTGCCACAGCAGAGGTCCTCCTCCTTCTCAGCCCCCAGGGCCGGAGGGGACAGCAGCCACCTGTGGTACCAGGGCGTCCCACTGTCCTTCCCCAGCAGCTCCGCGCCCGCCACCCCCAGCGTGGACTACCCGCACACCGCAGCTTATGCCAGCCCAGCCGGACACTTGGTGGCCCACGGTCAGAACCACCGGGCCAACGGCAGCAGCCCAAGCCCAGAGCCGGGCTCCTCACGCCTGGCCTCACGTGGGGTGACGGCTTCGGATGCTCCACAGCCGCTTTTCTCCGAGGGTGTGAGCGGCCCCCGGTCGGACACCGGGCACCCCGAGGGCTCCAGCACGGCCAAGGTGAAGCTGCCCTGCCAGACCCTCCTTCCGCAGCAGGAGCAAGGGCCGTCGGCGGCTGAGCTGAAGCTGGAGGCGCTGACCCAGCGCCTAGAGCAGGAGATGGATGCTCGGCCGAAGGCTGATTACTTTGGTAAGAAGGCAGTCTGCCAGGCGGCGTGAAAAGGGTTCGTTGCGAGGTGTTACTGCAGGGTTTGCACCTGCAGGGTTGTGTTTGCCTGTATGCCTGCGTGGTTTTGCTTTCTCAGTTGCCTGGGGCCGTGGGGTGTTATTTTACTTTATTTATCACAGGGACAGGAGGCTCTTTCTCCGGTGACACCTTTTTCTTTAAGCCTATCTCTTAAATTTTTAAGAGATAGGAGGAGGGGGGTTGGAGATGGGGAGGACAGAGCTGAGAAGAAGCTGGAGCAGCATCTCTCGAAGAGCCCTTTGCTCTTTGCAGTGGAAGGGCGCAGAGCTCAGGGGAGGCTTGGTGGTACTCCCCATGGAGATGGCCATGGCTGGGTGTGCTTGCAGGATCTGTGGAAGAGGAGTTGTTTGGAGATGGGAAGGGTGGTGGTTTCCCAAGCTTGCCAGGATTTCCCCACCAGCCCCAGGTGCTGGTTCCCAACAGCTGTGAAAGGCTCAGTGCATCCTGAAGACTGCAGATGAACAGACACAGTCCTCCCTAAATCTCAAGCAGTACATGTCTCCTGCAGAGGTTATCACTGGTGCTTGGCAGTGAAAAGGGACTGCCTGCATATGAGGATCTCCCAGTGGGACTATTAGATGTCCTGCTGGATTAAAGCAATTTACTGTCCCAGGATGGCAGAAGGTTAGGGGCAAATCAGGTGTTTCCTCTCCCTGCCTCACCACTTCACAGTTTAATAGCAGATGAGATAGTTTGGCTTTGGGGAGGAGGGAGAAGTTTCTGGGAAGGCTGTGAACTCCGCGGTTAATTTAAGGAACGACAGGAGCAGGTCTTCGTGTACGAACTTCCCTCATGATTTTAGACCCGCGGTCAGAGAAGTAGAGGCAGGGCTGGGTTAAACTCTTCAACCTGGTGCAGAGGGAGGGTTGCACGGCGCCCTGTCCGGTGGGGTCTGTGGGTGGCTCAGCAGTGGTCTGTGCACACAGGAGCAGCCATGGGCTTCACACTGGGCTTTGGGGACGTAGCTTGAGGGACCACGTTGCAAACTGTGTGACAAAATGTGTTTCTTGGCACCGGGCACTGGTACTTGCCCTCAGAGAGCTGTTCAGGGGTTGTTTGTCTTGGTGTCAGAGTCTGGATCCAGCCGTGTGGCAGGGCAGACACGTCTGCGTTCTGTCGCAGAAAAGTGATGTGTCGAGTTGCTGCACTGGGAGCGTTTGCGGCTGGAAACGTGTTTTGGCGCTTTCCGTCCTGCTCGGTTTGAATGAGCCTCGTCTGGCGGGGGGGCTGATGGCTGTGACGAGCAGCTGATAACAAAGATGTGGTTGGAACAACAGTCTCGCTGGCGGCAGTGCTCAAAAATCGGAATATAGCGGCGGGGGGAGGCTTTTGTCCTGCGGGAAATGTGTAGTGAACAGGAGTGATCCTGGCAGCACAGCACGGAGAGTCCTGCTGGGCAGGCAGCTGAGTTACAGGTGAGCCCCGGGCAGGGGGGGGAATGGAGGCTGCCTGATCCCTGCGGAATTCGTTTGGCATCCTCCTGGCAGGAGGTTTTATACCAGGGTGTAGTGTCTGAGAAATCTGGGGAGGAGGAGAGGGAAAATCAGAGCAATGCAAGAAGTTGTTCAGAGCCTCAGCTCTGTGAGGGAAGGCTCAGCAAATCTGCCCTGTAGAGAACCAAGGAGCAGGAAAGGGCAAGTACCAAGGTACTTTAATGCTGGCCCTCATTCCCCTTTCTCACTTTTTTCATTTATTCATAGTCGCCCTACTTCCTTTGGAGGGATAAAGGACCCAGCTGGTGGTCTGAATCTCTTTGCTATGCTGTGCCCTCAAGCTAGCAAACTTTAGGATGGAAAATAATACTTCTGTACAACAGTGATAAAAAGGATCAACAGTTTGTTTTGTTTCAGGCTTTCCCCCAGTGAAGGGAAGTCTAATGTAACAACTTTGCAGTACTAATACAGGAAATGAAACCAGGACTAAAGCGTGAATGACCAAAGTGTTTTATCTAAAATGCTTACATCTCTCATAATTTTGGGTGCTGCTTTTGTAACAAAGGGATATTTTAAAGATAGGTTCTTCAGTCTGTCTTGTTTTTCCTTCACTGAGTGAAAATGAGTGTTTGTAGAGGAAAACCTAGGAAAGGGTAAGCTAGGGACTAGACATAATGTAGGTAGGATGTTCTGCTGAGAAGTAACAGACAGTCTGGTTATCTGTCAGCACCAGCTTGCTATACAGAATACTTTGGTGTGCTCCAAGTACGTATAACAAGGAAACAAACAAACAAACCCAAGAGAGTTTTAATTTTTCTGCCTTTTTAATAGCGGCCTGTGTGAACAGCATGGGCTGCACATGTCCCTGGAGTCATCTGGATTCTCCAAGAGTGCTTTTGCAGTGCTGACTTGATTTGTGTGGGCTGTCGAGGAGGACATAGGCAATCCCAGGAATCACCCAGGACTTCAACTTGGGGGGGGGAAGTCCTGAAATTGCTCCCTAGAGAGGCTTTCATTCAGTCATTCATTCCTTCAGCAGAGCAGGGGCCTCATGCCCCTTGGAGGTGTCGCTGGAAGCCAGCTTAATTTCTGTTCAGGTTTTTGGTGTACCATTTCCAGGGGCCATCCAGCAGTGAGGCACCTGAATCCCACAGATGTTCCTTTGGATACACCAGCCTTCATCTAACTTGGTGAATGGAAAGATCAATTAACTAGGAGGGATTGGGGGAGTTGCAGCTCCTCTACTAGCACCATATTTTGGGTTAGGTGAGGTGACACCATAGCGAGGAGTGGTACTGGATGAGTTTCCAGGTAAGACCTGGGCTGGCGCACAGCCAAACTGAGGAGCTGCCTGGAGGTGACTTGATAGGGAAGAGGCCTGGCTGAGGGGCAGCAGGATCTGCAGAGAGATTTTACCATTGTTTTAACTAAGCCTGTGGTACCACACAGCTCCTTGGTTTGCAGGCATGGGTGGGTGTTTTTAGAGATGTAACGCGTAACATCGTGGTTTTATGTGTGCTTATTTCACAGAGCTAGATGAAATCTCCATCTGATGAGGACTATCTACACCCTTACCTAGAGCTTTTTTAAAAAATAATTCTTTGAATAGTTTTCTTGTTATAAATGTTTGTTAGGTGTTGATCAAGTTCTGGCTTCTTTTATTTGGAGCAGAGCTGGTAAGTTGCAGGTATTTTAGGAGGGCCCCAGGCATCTTGTTTTGCAATGAAATATTGGGATGCTTCCCAGCAGTCAGGCAGAGTAAGATCTGCTAGTGAAGTCTGCAGTTTTCTTTTCCCCTTGGCAGAAGTAGAGCAGTAGCTGGATGACTGAAGCCTGTGGAGACCTGGAGCCCCAGCACCTCTGAATTGGTGTGATCAGCTTGAAGGCCAACAGTGCTCTTTTGAGGTCTTGTCTACAGTGAAGTTAGTGTTTTACCACTGCCAAAACCACAACATGTTTTAACTTTAAGGCTGTACACAGCTGTGGACTTTACTGAACCGTGCTGCTGATGGTACACCAGGATGCTTTGGTAGTATCAAGGATAATTTCAGGGCTGCTGGGTGGAGAATTTCTGGTTAAAATGAAAGTTCTTCTGAGGTTTCTTTTGTATGTGGATGATGATTTCCACTTGGGAATGAACAGAGGTATCCGTTACTGCCTGCTCCTAGGCTAGAATAAAATCACCGAATCATAGAATGATTTAGATTGGATCATCCAGTTCCAACTCTCTGCCATGGGCAGGAGCACCTTTCACTAAACCAGGTTGCTCCTGACCTTGAACACTGCCAGGGATGGGGCAGCCACAGCTTCTCTGGGCAACCTGTGCCAGCACCTCAGCACCCTCACAGAAAGAACTTCTTCCTTATATCTAACCTCAATTACCCCTCTGTCAGGTTAAAGCCATTCCCCCTTGTCCTGTCACTACATGCCCTTATAAAAAGATGATGCCTGCCTGCAGCACAGAGGAGGGGGAGGCAGGATGAGGTGGGTCCTGGGTGGAATGAGGAAAGCTGAAAGGATCACAGCATGTGGGCTGGTGGGTGTGTGCAGATTGCAAAGCTTATCTCACTGCATGGAACCAAACAAATACGTATTCGCCTGGGATGCTGCTCTTCACGATTACAGCAGTGTGTGTGCTTCTCCTCCCTTCCTCTGGGGACCTCAGCTGGGCTTGCAAACTAAGGAAAAGTCTACCAAAAGGAAAGAAGAAGGAGTTGAGGCAGAGGAGCAATAGGTCTTTCAGCCAGGATATTGTGGCAGCGGGGACTGAAAGGAATAGGAGCCTCATTCATGTGGCACTGGAGTTAACATTATCTCTGACATTGCTATAGGGTACTTAAAATGTCACTGACGTGAGTTTGATGGCATTTTTATACTTTGCTGGCAGTGTGTACTTGTTCTGCAGCTAAGTCAGGGGGTCAGGAGCATGGCATGCAAAAATGGTACAGAAAAATTGCACTTAACAGCCCTGTTTTTTGGGGGGGCAGGAATTACCTGCATGTCTTTGCTATCACTGAGTGACAACCCAGTCACCCGGTGGTGAATGGCACCAAACTGCCAGGCTTTTCAGTCACTGAACCTTACATGGGCCTCCAGATCTCCTTGAAATCCACTCTTCAGCAAGTGCGATTGCACAGTAGTGGGTAAAGCACACAGTGTGTGTGATTTAGAATTGGATGTAGAAATGACTGACTTAAGGTGAGCCATGGGGAGGTGGCATCAGGTTCTGGAGACAGTCTGAAGTAAAACCTAAAGAACTGAGCATCACATTGGGTATGACAGGGTGAAGGCTTTTCTCAGCAGAGTCTTTGGAAAATGTGAGTGCAAGTGGGGGGCTTGGTTCTCCTGGAATAAATAGATGGGTTGCTGAAGCTGTGTATTCAAAATGCAGAACCTGTGTCTTCAAAAAGGTCCTCATGAAGGACTACCAGGAGGCATCAGGGTCTGCTTCTGGATTTGCCATGTGTGTGGCTGGGCAGATGGAAAGGATGATACCAGAGGTATGGTTGTGCAAAGGTTCTGGAGTTTCTTCCATGTACAGCTGTGCATTCTTTGCTATAAATCCAGCCTCCTGTAAGGAGGGGACAAAAACCAGTTATGTGTGATGGAGAAGAGTCAGGCTAGTTGTGGAAGCGCTGCGTGTATGGAGTAAGTGGAAAGGGTAGGACAGACTTACTCTTGCAAGTGCTGTTTCTGCATTAGCTACATATGCAGACCCACACCACCAGGATGGTCCTGCTACTGCATTCCTCTTATCTAGAGCTCAACTGACATTGCAAGGAAATCTCACCACTGAAGCAGCACACTGTCATGTGTGACCCTCCAAAATCAAGCAGCAGTTGTAGCAAACCCAACCAGGAGCATGTGTAGCAAAGCTTGGCTCTCCTGGATGTTGCTAAGAAAGGGGATACTGCTGAAAAGTTAATAGTAACTAACTATGGTGAGCATGAAATAACAACACTTAGAGGAAAGGCTTTGAATTGGGCAGTAACTGGAAATGCACCTGTTGAACTTAAAGGGTGGCACTGACATCTGAGGCTGAGCACCGGGTTTGCTTTAATTTCTGACAGCCCTTGAGGTCTGCATTGGACATGTTTGATCTTGTGTGCTGAGGCTGTTCCCAGTGGCAGCCCTTCTCCTGGTTTGCAGTGCCGAGACAGAATACAGCAGGCACTGGGAAGTGGCTTCCAGGGCATGTTTTTCGGTCCCAGCTCTGCCCCAAAGGTCCCTTTGTTGAGGCACTCAGCTGCAGCGCAGGCGGTTACTTGCTGCATGATGCAGAAGGGAACAGAGATTCCTTTGTTGTGCGGGGCCCGGCTGCCCTACTAGCAGAAATTGAGCCGAAATCAGCAATTCCCATCTCTTTCCCTTTTGAAATCTGGCTCACATTCTGCCGGGGTACTCAAGCGTGAATTTACCTGTGCCATGCATGTGTTTCAGGCTTGTCATCCTGGTGACTAAAAGAAACCTTTTATTTCTCCTTAATAACATGTTACTAGCATTGTCTGAGGTTCCAAGTTGTCATTTCGGAGGGGATATCTCCTCAGGTCACTGCTTGCATAAACCATGGCTCTTGGGATCCCTCTGCTTCCAACTGAGGACAGGAGTTGTTGCTAAAAGCTTTTCTATGCCAAGAAAATCACCCAGAGCTGCTGACTGTTGTCAGCAGCATGTGGGGCTGGCCGGCTGGTGCTGGCCAGCGTTTTAACTCTCTTCCCTGGCTAGCAAAAAGCACGCTCAGCACTCTTGTCAGGAAATCACTGGAGCAGGGCACAGAGCCCGTTTTGCAGCAGGATGGGGCTGGATGTGGCCTGTGCTGTGCTGCACTGCCTTCCATCAGGCTGGCTTCACACACGTGTTCACCGTCCACTGTCAGCAGCAGGTATTGCTTTTTGCTTTCATAGTCTAAGCTGGAAGAACGGGATCATTGTGGCAGCAGGCAGCGAATGGGAAATAAAGTAAAACAAAAAAAGTGGAAAGGAAAAATCAATAAAACCCACCTTTTTTTCCCCTTTCAGGCCAGGTGCGCTGAGTGTCAGAGATGAAGGCTCAAGCGTGTTACTTAAAATACTTCAGAATGTTATATTTTGAGGAAGCAAAGGCTTGTTTCTAGAATAATTCCAGTTGCTCTTGAGATATAATTGGCTTTCAAGTCAGATTTAGCAGATACAAGTGTAAAGATAAATTCTACACAGATTTGCCATAATGCCATTTTTCAGTTGTCAGCCTTGCCACAGGACATCTATAAATATTTATAGTAATTCTGGTTCTTATGTAGTTGTGAAATTCAGTACATTACAGATTTTATAGACAACATTGTCATTTTATTTTAAAAGCTCTTTCATTCTGTGACTTTATTTTCCATGTTTTAAAGGCTGAAATAAATATTTAAATAGGTGGATGGAAGGTTCCATCGGGGAATGAAATGGGGCATGTAGTGACAGCAAGGAGGAAGGATGGTTGGGATGTTCCAGGGACAGGAGATGGAGGAGGGTTTGAGTATGGATGGAGGACCACAGGCAGCTCTGCGGGATGTGGCCAGAATATTATCTGTCCTGTTGGCAAAACCACAGGGGTAGTGCCTGTGCTCTAAAGCTTAAATGGGATGGACAGGAGACAGCAGAGGCAATTTCTGCCCTCCATGGATTATGCATTAAGGTATTTATACAGTGGCTTTATACGCCTGCCAGCATCTTTAACATGTGCTGAGCCTGTCCTCAGCTGCTGCCTTCAACCTCTTGCTTTGTGATGCTCATCCATACTGAGAGTCACCCCGCTGCTTTCTGGAAAGGAGGAATCGGAGCATGCTGGTAACTTTTTCTGGAGCAGCCGGTCCTTGGCACAGAGAAGGGGAAAATGCAGCGCTTGCAGTGCAGTAAATCTATTGGTTCTGCGGAAAGCTTAGTGAATGTCGTGGAAAGAAGGTCTGAGCAGCAAAACTGGCAGGTTTCCTGCTCTCCAAACTTTCTGCTTGGCATTGCTGTAGTCAAGAGGGAATTTTGCAGGGTAGCCATTAGCTCTTGTGTAAGACGACTGCACAGCAGTTCAGGCTGCTGCTGAATGCATGCACTCTTGGGACAACACATCCATTTGAAAAGCCACATTTTGTCATCCGTGTTTTGTCTTTTTTTGTTTGTTTTTCTTTTTTTCCAATGCCTGCATGATTTATCTTTTGCCTGCTTAAGGTGTTTCTTTCAGTAAATGAGATAAATCTGCTTGATTCAGAAAGATTCAGCGAGTTTTGCTAACTTGGTGTCAGTCTGCTGCTGGGGTGGGCTCACAGCCAAGCTAGCATTTCAGTTTAGGTCGGGTTTGGACAAAACAGAGTAACTCATTACTCTCTGCAGCCTTCTCTCCAGGTCTGTGTCAGTTTGGACTCTGGCTCTGAGTGCAGTGGGGCTTGGAGCAGCGCAAGGATAGCTTTCAGCATGCTGGTTGAATGCGTGCAGGCAGCTGCAGCACAGAAAGCCAGGTCTGCTGTGGGAAAATGAAGTATCTGCTTTTCAGCAGCTCTGTGTGTGCGATTGCAAAGGGCTCCCAAGTGTTTTTATCCCTGTAATGTGAAAACTGACTGCTGTAGCTATAAGCTGCAGGAAGAGTTTTTTAAGCACCCTGGGAGTGCCAGCATGGTACTGCTGGGGTTGGGAGTTACTTTTGAGCGCTGTCGTGAGTAGGTGGCGGGGTTTCTTCCTAACTTTGACCAGACCTTTCCAATTACTCCAGAGCTTGTGGTGCCCTGAGAGAAGTGAAGTTTTGTTAACCACAGCATGACTAAGGATCTCCAGCAAGATGATGCTGTACCTCTTCCTGGGCCAGTAGGAGCGAGATGTCACCAACCGTCCCTGACCCAGGGAGTTTTGGGATCTGGGGAGATTGGGACTGAGAAGCAGTGGAAGGAGAGACCAGGAGGTGAAGTCACATCCACAGGGTTGTCATAGATCAAAGGCAGAAGCTCATCTTCCATTTGTCCTACCGCGTTTGGGTAGATCCAGGGTTATTTGCTTAAACACAGATTGAAGCTGCTCATTTAGAAGTAGCTAAAGGGTGATGCTGCTTTAAAACTGGTCTGTCACAATCATAGGGTAATGCCTGGAGTAAGTAAACTGCCTTGATGTGTCCTTCTCCTCGGACAAGGACTTTCCCTCCCTGGATACTAATAGTGGTTTTGGGCAGCCTTGCTGCATTTCTTCCTGTAAGGTGAAGGGAGTAGGTCCTGCTAGTGGATGCTGTCAAGGGCATGAAACTCAGCTGTCACTTGTTACTGTTATCTGAAGAGTGTTATGTGGAAATGTGGTGAGATTTGAGAAGCCCCAGGTGAACACACAACACCCTTTGTGAACCTGCAGTGCTGAAGTCTTCTCCCTGCGCAGCCTCCCCACCACCACCACTGTGCATCTTCCCTGTTGCCAGTCGGAGCCCCACCAGGGCGGGTGCTGGTGGAAATGTGCTTGGTTGTGCTGGCAAGACACTGAGCTGAACAGCTGAGTGTGGTCATCTTCTGCCTCCTCTGGAGCTCCAGAGCTGACCCTGGTCTGTAGGTGATGGTGGTGGCTGGAAAGCCTGGGTGTGAGGAGCAGGTTGGACTTGCCCTTTCAACAGTGTGTAGCCATAAATTGAATGTGTGTTCTTCCCCTGTCTCTCCTTTGCCCCATGGGCTGCCTGAGGGTCACCCCCTCAGCTGCCATCAGCAGCAAGTATTCTCTCCTCAAAACTGGTCTCCTGCTTGCCTTGTCCTGCAAGAGAGACATCTGGACAGGATGCATGGTCTGTAGGTAGCGCCTACATGCAGTCTCTGTTCAGATGTGTTTGACAGAGGGAAGAGAGGCAAGTGTCGGGTAGCCCAGCTCTGTTTCATTGGGAAGTCCTTAGGGCCTTCAGCAGATGTGACCAGGGTGTGAAATCATGAAGATTTAAAGGGAATAGGTGGTGTGTTTTCCTCATACCAATTGCAACCAACAAGCTTATTTTATGCAATAAGTAGCAGAAACACTTGGTCTGTGAAGAGCCCTGAGCACCATTTACTACCACCCAGGCTTTTGGGAGGATCCTTAAGTGGCTTTAAATGTGTATAAAGGTTGTAGGGAAGGATGGGAGAAGGAAGGAGATGTCACTGTGGCCAGTCAGGGCTGTTCTTGATGGCTGTCATGACCACTCTTAACAGCATCTTTCAAAGTGGTGACACCAATGTTACCTACATCTTGGGGCTTCAGTGAGCCCCCTGGTCCCAAGCTGCGGAGCCACCATACTGAATTAGAGGTGTGGCCATCCATCAGTGACCCAGCCACCCCACAAGGTCCTGCTTCTGACCTCTGTCTCCCTCTTTCTGTTCCAGGCACCTGCGTGAAGTGCACCAAGGGGGTGTATGGAGCAAACCAGGCTTGCCAGGCCATGGGCAACCTCTACCACGATGCCTGCTTCACCTGCGGAGCATGCAGTGAGTATCCCCTGTCTGGACTGCCACTGCTGCTTTGGCTTGACATTTTTCTGGCATACAGAGGAGGGGGGAGAAAAGGAGGTGGTTTATTTGTTTGGTTTTGAATGGATTTGAAGGCCAACAGCATCCTGGCCTGTATCAGAAATAGTGTAGCCAGCAGGGCCAGGGCAGTGATTGTCCCCCTGTGCTGGGCACTGGTGAGGCTGCACCTTGAACCCTGTGTTCAGTTCTTGCCTCTCACTACAAGAGGGACATTGAGGTGCTGGAGCGGGGCCAGAGAAGGGCAACGGAGCTGATGCAGGGCCTGGAGCACAACTGTGATGGGGAATGGCTGAGGGACCTGGGGGGTTCAGTGTGGAGAAGAGAAGGCTCAGGGAGACCTTATCGCTCCCTACAACTGCCTGACAGGAGGTTGTAGTGAGGTGGGGTCAGTCTCTGCTCCCAAGGAACAAGGGACAGGACAAGAGGAAACGGCCTCAAGCTGCACCAGGGGAGGTTTAGATGGAGCGGAGGAACAATTCCTTCCCCAGAGGGTGCTCAGGCACTGGAACAGGCTGCCCAGGGCAGGGCTGCAGTCACCGTCCCTGCAAGTGTTCACACAGCGTGGAGACGAGGCCTCAGTGCCATGGGTTAGTGGTGGCCTTGGAGTGCTGGGAACGGTTGGACTGGGTGAGCTTAAAGGGCTTTTCCAACCTGGTTGATTCTGTGATTCCTGCAAGGCATGTAGAAAAGGTACTTTGGATTGTGCCATCCATCTGCCTTCTGGTATGGGGAGCATTTTTTTAACTCTAGGGCTAGTAGGATATTTTTAGAAGTTTAGCTGTATATGTGGCATCAGAAAAGGTAATAACAATCCTTGTGGTGCTTGTCTATTTGGTTTTCCCACCTAAGTCTTATGGTTTTTCTCCTATGTTGTATTTAGAGTTGTAAGCTCATCAGGACTGCATGTGTTTTATTTGGAGCTGTAAAGTGGGAATAAATATAGAAAGATGTGTATGCTTTTTAATAATAGCTGAACCTTGAACTCTGGTCATTTCCCAGCTGTCCAGCACCAGCTGCCTTGCCTCACCTATGTTTTCAGTAGGGCGTTTCACTGCCATCTGATCAAAGAGGGGAAAACTGAAAAGGTGATATTTGCATGTGGTAGCACTTTCCTAAAGGCTCAGAAGTCAGCAGCTCACTCTTTTGTCCTCTCATATATGAATCCAAAATCCTCTCCTGCAGAGAGGATTCCTGACTGCAGCCAGGGCTTTGCTTCGGGGACCTCTTGCCCTCCATGGCTGGGCAGCCTCTGAACTGCCCTTGCACACAAAGCTCCTGTTAAAAATAATCCAGCAGCAGGTTCAAGCTGAGTTAAATGTCTAAAATTACTACTGTGCAACTGGTGCTTTAGAAGGAAACACTTCAGATCCTCCTTTTAGAATGGATTTTACCATCTTCATTTGGAGACCAGCGCTAGAGAGGTACCTGCAGTTGCAGAGGTAATCAGTGGTTACTTCTCATGGTCTGGTTAAAAAACAGCTTGATCCTATTTCTGATGAGTTGGGTTGGTGAGGGCTGATAGAATAGCTATTTGTTGCTTATTCTAAAAAGCAACCCTTTCCAAAGGTTTCCAATGCAAGACAAGAAGGGTGTGGGTGCCAGCTGAAGACTTAGAAAGATGGAAATAAGCCAAGTTTAGCAAAGTGAAGCCCATCTTCTCTCGTACCCAGGCTGTAACTGAGAAATGTGCTGAGATGACATCCTGGGGCAAAGGGTTTCAAATGGAAAGAAGAAAACCAAGTACAAAAGGCTAGTGAAAATGCTGCTGTCACCCAGAGAGGGAGCATGCCTCTCTGCAGGCTTTCTGTCATCCCTGGAGCTGCAGTAAATATGATGAGACCATTTTATCTGACAGAAAAGCAAACATTTGTCTGGGTGGTGGTGTGTGTCTAGCTGCAGAGCATGTCTTGAGCAGCCTGTGTGGAAACACTGGTTTGTAGCTGAAAAGTAAGTAGCGCTTTTAAGGTCAAGTGGAGTTCAGCTTGGACACCATCCAGTACAAACTTGTCTTTGAGAAGTCAAGGTTGCTCATGATTTCAGTCCTAAAATTTCTGCTCTGGTGGAACATTGAATATTCCCCAATAAGTAAAATAGGCAAAATTACCTATTAAGGTAAAGCATATTGTTCTCCAGATATTTATATCCTCTGTCCTGCTGGTTTCATTTTAGTGAGGATTTCTAATGTTGCTCATAGTTGGACTTGTGGCCAAATGTGCACTGGTTTCCCTGGTACAGCAAACTGAGAGGGTCTAAGGAGTGTGTGTGTGAGGGATGATACCTCATAGAGCCAGATTTCCTACACCGATATACGTATGTTTGGTGATAGAGCAGTTTGTTGAGCAGGGCTATGCTAGGTTACAGGGTTCTGTTGTCAGGGGAAAAAATGTACTGTTTTATCTGAGCCACTGGCACGTAATGCAGAAAATTTGGCTTAGAGGTCAGAACAACAGATTTAGAATGATTACTTTGGCATAAATGTCTCATTTATCTTCTTGTTTGTTACAGGGCAGAGACATAAACAAGGCAGCTTTCTGGAGAGGGAGGGAGGAAAAAACCTCTTTCTGCAGGATTAGTAATAAATTATATTTGCTTTACAGGAGGGCCATGAAAGTAGGTTAAAAAAGAAACTCCTCGAAACTCATACAACTGTTTCCTGCAAGCGCAAGGTGTCTGTTTCTGTCTTGGCTTTCTTTCCTTTTGCTTTTCAGTTTGTTGGACAAACGGTGGTAGTTGTCAAATGGTTTTGTTACTCATTAACCATTGCAGTTGGGCGTCCCTTCCAACCCTAATGATGCTGTGATTCTATTAATAGCTCCTCAGAACACAAAAGATGTAGGTGTTTCCTCATGCTGATGTTTGTTACTTGGCGAGTAAGGAGGTCTTATAAAAGATATAACTAGATGATATTACTCTAACCTGTTGTGGTTTAGTGTATTCAGCCAGGCTTATATCCAACGGCTGCAGGTTGCCTGGAAAACAGACCTTTTCAGCTCTGCTAGCAGCATAATTCAAAGCATAAGGATCTTGTATTTGAGCCACTTGATCCTCAGAGGAAATCTGAAAGCTAAAAAAGTGCAAGGGAAGTGTCCGAGATGACTGTGAAGGAAATCAGTAGGCGAGGAAGGAAGTCAGAAAGAAAGAACTGTTTCCAAGGTAGTTTGAAGGAGGCTCAATGTTGAGCTACAGCAGAAGAGCCAAAGCGAGGAGCAGATTTTGCACCCATCTTGCAAAGAGGTGGAAAGCTTGCATGCTTGCCAGGCTACAGAATTTGACCTTTAACATGGCAACATCACTGCATTACTTTCTCTTTTCTGGTTTTTGTAAGCTCAGCTGAATGCTGATGGCTGTGTAAGGCTAACAAGGCTGCTGTGACAATGGCAGAGCTTGAAATCACACGGCAGTTGGCTGTTCCTTGCCACCCTCTGGGTATGTATATGTATTTTATGTACTATTTCACAACATAGTTGTGTGTCATTTACTAAATGAAGTAGCTAAACTATCAAAGCAGTATTATCCGGGAGCATAGTCCCCTGCTTGAGCTAAGTAGTCTGGCTGCAGTGATTATAAAGCATGACTACTTAAAGCAGTGCAGCTCTTGGTGTCTTTGGGCTAATTATGTTGAGTAAGTATGTCCTGTATTGGTATATAACCCCAGGAACATGGTTTTTATTGGCACCACTACATAACTCTACAAGTAGAAAGTCACCTTTTTCTGTGACTTTATGCCAGGCTGCAGGACAGCCAGCCTTGCCGTGTGTATTTCCCTGTGGCACATGTATGCATATGTTTATCTTGAGATGAAGAAGCTGCCAACTCTTCTAGTGGAGGCAGCATTTACTGCTTGTAATTGGATATAAACCCATGACACCGATCAACACACATGAGAAATGTGCATCTTCAAACTGGGGAGTGCATAGCATTGCACTCAGCATCCCTCAATAGAGTTATCATACCAGAGTCTGTGTAGTAAACTATGTATAGAATTTTTAGCAAAAGTAATGTCAGAAGGGATTCAGATGTGTCTGACTTTACAGCTTGGGAGGCAGGGAAGGCATCAGTGCATTTTTCTGCTCCAGTCTAAATTGCTGCTTTGTTCTTGCTGACTTTTTGTTTTCAGTCTCTCAGCTTGCTGGTGAGAAATCACTGTTTGGCACAAGAAGTGCTTGCCATAGATGAGAAATGCCAGGGCAGCTCTCACAGGAGGATGACAGTACTTGTTCCTCTCCCAGCCAGATTTCAGTGCTTTGGGGTCTGAGCTGGAGGGGCTTTGGCCTGGTCCATTTGTCCTCAGCAGATATCCCAGCTGAAAGGGTGCAAGTGTTCAGAGCACCCAACAGGAGGTGCAGTCAGGGCTTTACCAGCATTTTAGTGGTTTGAGTTGATTGCAAGTGTTCCATTGCTGGCTGAAAGTCTGAAATCATTAGGACAGTGTGAGGAAAAATGTTGAAACCTTTAATGGAATAAGTTTCCAGTCTTTCTGGTCTTTTTATTTCATAATGTCACTTCAGAGTACTGCATTTTGGTAAGAACAGGTATAGGATTAATTGTGCTGTAAAGATTTTAGGGGATTTCTTATCATAGAATCAACCAGGTTGGAAAAGCCCTTTAAGCTCACCCAGTCCAACCATTCCCAGCACTGCCAAGGCCACCACTAACCCATGGCACTGAGGCCTCGTCTCCACGCTGTGTGAACACTTGCAGGGACGGTGACTGCAGCCCTGCCCTGGGCAGCCTGTTCCAATGCCTGAGCACCCTCTGGGGAAGGAATTGTTCCTCCGCTCCATCTAAACCTGCCCTGGTGCAGCTTGAGGCCGTTTCCTCTTGTCCTGTCCCTTGTTCCTTGGGAGCAGAGACCGACCCCACCTCACTACAACCTCCTGTCAGGCAGTTGTAGGGAGCGATCAGGTCTTATTATAATGTTTAATGATATTTTTCTTAGTAGCTCAGTAAGCACTGAG